AATTAGGATACCGTTTTTTTTTTCTTATTCGATTCATATTACCAATTTATTAACTGAATTTATTTTCTTTTGTAACCGTGTTACTCATTTAGTATCACAGAAATTTAAGAATGACTTGCTTTTATGTATTACACCAACAGACATCCTTCAACTTCCTAAATCACAGCGTATGACTCATACCAGATATCCTCTACACAGAATCCGATGAAAAAATAAGTTCCGGAATTCCACGCGGTCTTTTAACGAGAAATCAGTAGAATTACCTTTAACAGAATAATGGTATCTTGTATTAAATATTTATAACTAACGTTTTGAATAATAATAGATTTATTAACTCAGCAGTTACGGTTTAATATATTTCAACGTATTATAAAGTGGTATAATAATTGCGTTTAGTTAAAGAAAATTATTACATTAAAAATTACATAAAATCGTGACATTGAGAATAATATTATTCAATATATATCTACGTAACTTGTCTACGTAATATTAAATAGCTAAGAATAAATTTAAGTGGCTGAAAAATAAAAAAAGGGGACAAGTTGCCTTAGTTATCGACACCAATGTCATATTATAAACAAGTTAAGGCAGGTATTCCACAAGAAGTCAGTTTAGGTTGTGTGCAAGAGGATCTCTATATTTAGGTGCATTCATTGCTAACCCTAGTAACACACGACGTCCTATGGATGTCCAATATACGTCCACTTTTGGTCCGGACGTACGAAGTGGGATGTACTTTGGGTGGACTAAATATGGACGTTCTCTGGCCCGTCGCCTATGGACCGGCCCTAACGGTTATTTCCTTAGCTACGCCTTTATTCTGTTGGATAGACTCTTATTTCATTGTACAAATCTGACTGGCGTACATAGTCAGTGGCTCACAAAAACGCAAATATAATCGTCTGACCATACAAAAGCGTTGCCGGACATATTCGTCATAGCCACTTAAGAGGTTAAAGGTTATTATTAATCTCTCTCTCTTCAATCCTGACCCCCCAGGGCGAGTGTAGTGGTCGACGTGATGTCGTGTATTGTCCGTCTCCAGAGATCTCTGTCTCTGGTCATTTCTTTTAATTCATGCATAGGTCTTTGGCATATTCCTGTAATTTGATCTATCCATCTTGTTGGGGATCTTCCTCGTGATCTTCGGCCTTCTACCTTTCCTTGTATTATGAGTCTTTCCATGTTTTCTGTGTTTGCTTTCATAACATGCCCAAAATATTTTAATTGTTGGAGATGGACTTTACTAGAGAGTTGTTGGCTGACTTTTAGCTCTCTTAAAATTGAATTATTTGTTCTACGGTCGGTCCAAGGAATTCGTAACATTCGTCTCCAACAGAACATTTCAGTGGCGTCTATCTTTCTTCTCTCCGATTGTCTCAGAGTCCAAGATTCACATCCGTAGGCCAGTATTGGGAATATTAAGCAGTTGATCAACCTCAGCTTTATCGCTCTTGAAACTTGACAGTCCTTCCATATTTTGGTCATTTTTGCTGTGGCAACTTTTGCTAGATCACATCTACGTTTAATCTCTTCTTGTAATGACCCTGTGTTTGTGATTAATGATCCCAGATATAAGTATGAGCTCACAACCTCGAAAGAGTCAATTGTGGTTATGTGTGGATGATTGTTGTGTAGTCTATCCACTATCATGATCTTTGTCTTTGATATGTTTAATTGCAGACCAAATATTTGACTTTCGTTTTCGATCAGTCCCATAAGTTCTATCAGCTCTGCTTGACTATTTGCAAGGGCTGTGTCATCTGCGAAACGTAGGTTGTTTAGTGTATGACTATTTATTGAGATGCCCTTTTCCCATCCTTCAAGTGCTCTTCGCATAATATACTCTCCATATACGTTGAATAATTGTGGAGATAGTATACATCCTTGTCTGACACCCCGTTCTGGATGAAATTCGTTCGAAAGTGTGTCAAGTACTTTAACCGATCCAGTAGTGTATTCATATAGTTCGGTTATAAGCGTAATTAGATGTTGTAGTACGCCTACTTCTGTTAGTATTCGCCATAAGTGTCTCCACTTGACCCTGTCGAACGCTTTACGGTAATCTATAAAACAGATGTATAGTGGGATGTTGAATTCCCTAGATTTCTCGATTATCTGTCTTATATTCAGCAGGTGTTCTCGAGTGCCTCTACCTTTGGTAAATCCAGTTTGCTCTTGTGGAATTTCTCTTTGAAGGAATGTTTTCAGTCTCTCATTGATTATATGTAGCATTATCTTGCTGGCATGGGATATAAGAGAGATAGTTCTATAATTGTCGCATTTACGGAAGCTGCCTTTTTTATGTATGGTCGTTATTGTAGATTTTGTCCAGTCTTCAAGCCATTGTTTGGAATGCCATATTTGGTTACAGAGTAGATGAAGTAACTTTACGCCGGTTTCTTCTGTGACTAAGCATTTCTGCTGTTATCATATCTGGACCTGGTGCTTTGTTATATTTGAGCTTGTTGATAGCCTGTCTTACTTCATTTTCGAGTATATCAGGTTCTTCTTCCACCTCGTCAGAGAACAAGCTCTTGGCGTTGATCATCTTTATATAGGTCCCTGCAATACGATCTCCATGTCTCTGCTATGTCTTATCTGTTTTGTTCTTAGGGTTCCAGTGTTATCTTCAATGGCCCAAGTTCTGGCTCTGAAGTCTCTTGTTAGGAGCGGACAAGAGACTTCACTATTATTAATATACTTGTGCAAATAAAGAGCGAACGAATATTATTTCTCTTTACATCTTTTTTACTTACCGTATGCCAGATAAAGAAAAAGTATTATATGGATAGTTTTGCAGGAAAATAAGGAACTGGTAAAATATGAATAATAAAGACTCATTACTATTATCAAAATACTTTCTTTATTCCGATATTTACACATTTAAGTCTATGACACAATCATAAACTATGCATATCACATTTATAGGTGTGTATATATTTTCTTATAATAAGGAAAGTAAAAAAGAAATGATATACTTCACTCAAATAAACAGATTCACATTAAGTTTAATAACATATAACAAAATACTAATACCAAACATACCAACAATTTGTGCTTTAAAATGTGCGGCATTAATCAGTTCGTGCCGAGTCCTTGGCGATGAGGGCTTATACTCATAAAATTACTAATAGCTTTTGCAGAATACTAAAAATCTATTTAGATACCTGCACATTTGAATGAAGTATATATTTTACTTTTACATTTTCAAAGGAAATTAATAATATACACTTGATATGAACTTTCTTAATTTGAGAATATAAACACACTGTCGACTTACTTGGCTAAAATTTGATAGGATGTAATTTGTTTTGAGACTTCTGATCTTTTGGTTTGTTTAAAAACTGTTGGTATTTAATTGTCACCAAAAGTTCAGTCAAGTCAAGATAAATTATTTTTTAATGACCTAGTACAGAACTAATTATTATTGTGATGAGAATTGATGTAATTTCTCCCTATCTACTAGTGACGACAAGCCAATTGAAATCACTTTTCAAGCAGCTGTAGAAAAGTTGACGCCGAGGACCCTAGGGAGGAGCTGGCAACATTTTATGAATTGTTGCACACTGAACAGATTAAGAACGGTACGACACAGACTTCACCTTGGTCAATGACAAAGCCATCCATATGGCGACTGAAAAACATCATTTAGAAGCCTCACGTGATCTGGACAAGAAAAGTTAAGTAAATACCAGTCATTTTCTCTTTTATCCACCTGGCTTATTATATAATAACGGGTGGTAACAGCTATTAAGTGAAGACGAATAGGAGAAGCCTACCTAGGTACGTTGCTTCGACTATAAACAGTCCAACTTGGTAGAAATTCGGTCATTATAGTCAATATCTAATGGCTCATCGCTAGCAAGATGGTAGTGCATACTGAGGACACGAGAATCTGCGCACATCATACCAACTGTGACTAGCTACAAAGCAGTCAGTTTGATATTATCAAAATGGTTTCCATTATTCAAGAAAATTAAAGAGTTCTGCTGCTTTCATGGATGGCCAACAGGATAAGACACAATGTGGAGATAAGGAATGATATATGAATTCTTATGCATCGTTCCTTGTCAATTCACAGACACAGATTGAGAGAAAATTTGTTTAATGATGGTGTATTCCAAGTAATAAACAGGATTATTATTAGATTTAGAAAAATTAGTACTATAAATAAACTCAAAAATGTCTTGTTGCAAGGATCTGTACTTACATAATTTCTTTTGAGCCTTTAAGGCGCATTTAACAAACTTACTGAGAAACTAAGACCAGAAAGATGACCCAAGAACTTTGTAGCTCGATTTGGGGAGCATCACTATCTTCGTAAAGTTCTTCAGCGTTATCCTTAATTTTTTATATGTTGCCAAGAATTTATGTACTTTTTGTTTACATGTTTTAATGTTTCCATTACTAAGCGACATTCCATTGCTACATGTTCACTGACTTAATGCGCTGAAAAATCAATACAGAAAGATACTTACAACCGAGAACCACCAGTACTTAATTATATTGGAGACAGCAGAAAAAATGCACCATGCTGTAGAAAACATCAACTACCAAATGAAACATAACCAACAAATGGACCTACGAATGCTCTGTAGTCCCATCCAACCATATTATGCTATGCATAACAAACAGTGCTAGTAGATTCAACTTATTGCACAAAGCCTAGTGTAAACTCAATTGAAATCAGGTCTCAACCATGAACTGAAATTACCATGTCCATTGTGAAGATGTGGTGAGGTCCAAACTAGGGTATCACCAGTGATCAAACAAAGATAGTCTCCAATATTTACTGTTTGAGACGGCAGAATCTATAACATATATTATAAATGTCGATGTTTGTTTATAAATTTGACTAGAAGTTTTTTTTTATATAGTCAATGTCAATTTTTTATCGAAATGTTACATGTTCAATAAACCAATATGTTACCAACATCTAAACATTTGTTAAGAAGACGAAAATTATAGAAACCTCAATGCCTTTAACCATTTATAACAACAAAGAACAACCAAACTTTGATATATTCATACCTACCGGTCTATTAACATCCTTGATGTGACTTAATAGATAATTTAGCTCAAAACAAACTAATTCCTATCAAATCGATATTAACTATTTACTACTAATACTATAACGTATATCTAATAAATAAAATTCGAAAATAATATCACACGTTAACGTTTTCTCGTCGGTTCTATGATCTAAAATGTTTAGAAGGCGTCAATGTAGTGTTGCTCTCCGTACCAGTCGGTGTGTTCATTTAAATACCTATATTAAAAAACGTTTGTTTAATTATATCAAATTTATTTAATCAATATTGAAAAAGCAATTATTCAAGCTTTTTTTTGTTTTTTGGCCTTAGGTACAAGACCTATTTAGCCAGACAATATAGGTATAAGAATATAGAATACATAAAAACAATCCTCCAAATTCATAACAATTTCCTAACCGTTCGTTCATTCGCACCACATTCACTCAATTTCCTAACCTTCCCATTAAAAACACTATTGTATGACTATACAAAAAGGATTGAACAGGAACACACGCTTCACGCTAAGGTGCCCTTCATAGCGACTTTTTTGTAACACAAACAATACAGGCAACGATTAAAGGTAAAAGACATAAAAGGAAAGACAATGGGAAATACAACAACTAACGTCCTACCATTTCGGATTCACACAACAACACTGAACAGGGCAGTTTAGATTTTCCGTTTGGTACGTTTGAAAAATTCCCATAAAATTGATGATCTTATAGTTGAATTTCGACTACCTAAATACATAATAGAAGCAACGTTCTGCGGCAAAATGATTTTTTCTTGAGAGATGGCTTGAAATAAAAATTTTATGGCTTCTTGATTATACCGACATTGAAACATGCAGTGGTTAAGATCGTCATAACTGCCATTACATTCACATATATCAGTTTCGGAAAGTTTTATTTTATATAAGTAAGAATTTACTGTAGCATGTCCAAAATGGCATCTAACGTACATAGTATAAATTTTCCGAGAGATGGGACTTCTGTCACTTAGAGGAGTAGATGGAAGAGTTGGTTTTCACTTTTCTAAACAAATATATACCAACAGACTAATAGTAGATGCGCTTGAAAAGCTAAGAATCTTAACTTCTTTAAAAAGAATTGTTAACTTTGTGTGGGTTAAAGGTCACTCTAATATTATAGGTAATGAAAAAGTAGACCATTTGGCTAAAGACGCTACTTTAGTGGGTATAGAGTACAACGAGTTGCCCCAATGGGATATAGTTTCAGCTAGGAAGAAATATGTTAGACATAATTGGAAATTGAGTGGCAATCCTTTACTAACAGTAGCAAAAATACATACTGCAGTATTATTCAAGCTTATTTTAAAGAGTTTAAAATGAACCATTGTAAACTCGAAATTCAATAGGATTGATAGAAACACTTGGTGGAGAGCGGCTAAATACTGATTTATGCATCGTTATACAAATCTGTTACTAGACATCGTTACACTTTTGAATTGCTTCCTTCCACATACTTAAAACATGTTAATCTCTATATCCATCTCTAAAAATATGTATATGTATTATAGTAAGTCTTGCAATCTGCCCATACTAATTTGATAGCATTAGAATCTGGGTGATACGGTGGCAATCTAAGCACTTCGTGTCCATGTTCACATATCAATTGTAGCATTTCAAATTACCTTATATGTTAAAACACCGAATCCTTTTGCATCCCTGCAATTAATAATAAACACATTTTAAAATTTATTTAAATATCACAGATGCGTATTTCCTCGGTATTTTTTTGATCGAGAGCCGCTTTAGGATGTATTGCGCGTCAAGTAAATATATACTTCGGTTGATGGGAAGGTTATGCGAGGAGGCGAATGATTTTTGAGGATTATGAAGTTACTCTCAGTGGAGGCGCTGTCAGAGGCAGTTGGTTTCGGTGTCAGTCCGAATTTAGCTTCAAATTCGTAATAGATTTTCGTTTTTCGCCTTTTTTCATGAAAAAATGTGTAGTATTGTGGTAGTTAATTGTGCAGTAAGTAAAGTTATGTAGGTTTGGGAGAGATTTTGTTGAGAGAAGACGCGGCGTGTTTAGTTTGGAGAAACGCGGCAAATGGTGTGATGCAAATGCTGTGAAAAAGTGAATTACACTTAATGTAATGTGTCAGTTTTGATAAGAGTAGTCACTGTTTTAATTTCCATGCCGTCTCTCATCTGAGAAATTTGTAAAACGGCGTTTCCAACAACTTAGAAGGATACCCACATGTTTCCATTGTGTTTGGTGTTATAAGACGCCGAGTTTTATAAGTTTGCGTCCCAGTGCCTCAGCTTCCATCCTCATTTTGTTTGTTCCTGGTCGTCATTCGAGAATAAATCTGCAGTTGTTTGTGTGGCAGTGAATCTAAATGCAGTTCCAACACCAAAAATAAAAAAAATAATAATGACATTTAGTGAAAATCAGGAAGAGCCTTTCTTTCATCCAGCAGGAAGATTCGTCTAAGCGACGTCCTTACTTCAAATAGCTTAAGGACCTACTTGTATAGTACTTGTCCAGGAGATTCATGTAAGTACCTCTTTTGTTTCATTTTTGTAGTTACCCTAGATCCTGTCCCTTTGTCATTCACTAATCTGCGGGCCAGCTCTCCAAAAAAACCCTGAGTAGCCGTTCGCAAACGTTTCAGTTTGTTTTGCTTGCCCTGTCTCCACCCCAATAATTTTTATTAACAATTTTTAACCCCTTATAGTAATACCCTATGTGGTAGGCAAAATAATCGTTACACAATTCATCTAGAATATATATATTTTCTTGTCGATTCATCTTGGTCAATTCTAACAATTCTGGTTTTAACTGATGTTCATCAAAATTGCCATTGTATTTCTTCAACCAATCTATAATGTTCAATTTTAACCATTTAGCGGAAGGTTGTTTATTCACGATTTCACTATCGTAGGGTGTGTTGTCCATGACAATCAAAGATGGGTGTTCTAAATAAGGAAGTCATTTTGTACTTATCCATTTAGTTAATATTGGATAATATCCATTACTATTCATTTCACTCTGATAATCTGCAGTCAAGGATTTAGAATAAAATAACAAGCCGGAGTCTGAAATAAAACCTTTTGCTGAATCGGAATGAACCACAATAAATATTTTTCCATCATAACCACCTGGTTTATGTAAATTTCGGCTGTTGTCGTCCTGCCACATCATTTTATTTTCTCCTAGTAAAAATCCATGTTTCATCTAAAAATACAACTTCTCGTGGATATGTACTATTTGTGCTTTCCATATATTTACATAAGAAAGACGCTCATTTTGCTGCGATATGAGCTTTCAATTAAAGCTCTTCGATCTCTTTTTTTTAATTTAAAGCCCAAATGGAAGATTAGCATGGGGATACAAACTGATTTAAAAAGCAGTTTTCCTCTACAGTGGCTCTTTTAGAAACTGAATAGATAATTTTAACGGACAATGCACCTTATATTACAGTTATTTCAATAACTATAAATAAATTAGTTATTTTTTGGCACCCTTCTTTTAATTCCTTAACATATGAAGCTAACGAAACAGTACATAAATATGGTAGGTATCATTGTGTTAAGAACTCCACTATATCATTGCAAAATAAATTCCGATCGAGTTGATATGGACACAAGTAAATAATGAGGTAGCGAGTATGGCACCAACAATCAAATTGATTAAAACAATGCCAAATGTTATTTAGAACAAGACATACAATCTGTAACTATTTCTAACTGGTGTCCTTACAAAGATTTCTCCAACTAAAATAATTTACAAACCACCAATGAACTGCAATCGTCTCTCGTCACAGATCTCGACAATTCTATTGAATTTTGAGTATAAACAGCATAAAAAATTCAGTCTCATAGTATTATGCCACACAAAAATACATGCCGAATACATACCCTATTATCTTATCAAAATGTCTAAGCAGAACCTTCAATTTTTCATCTGGAATGTTTGTGGAAGTAAGCAGATCTGGTAACTTCACAAAAAGCCTTAGCAAATGCGTCGCTCCGTACACCAAACAAGGCGCAGGAGGTTGCTGGTGATATACATGGTCAGGAAGAATTTTCCACGTCAATGTTTTGGACAAAGGACCTGCGATGTCAGAATTACTGCTAGTGACACTAAAAACAAAAGAAATACCATATACAGTCATCTCAAGAACAATTTCAACGAATAAATATACCTTGAAGCTGGTTTTGGGGTGTTATTGTTACAATTATTTTCTCTAGGGGACGCATTTCCATTTGCTTGAGAATCGCTTCTGTTTGATCTCAGTGTTCGTCGTCTGGCTGTTATTTTATCAGTGTCGTTGCCATTTTCTGTGAGGTAAGTACCGTTATTGAGATTACTATTCAAATCTTCCGATTTCAGTCTAAAAAGAAAAATATATTTAGTAACAATTATCAAGTTAATGATGATTCTCTACAATTTTGGTGATACATCAAGGGTAAAACTAAAAATAGAGATGTACCACTAACCACTACTAGTGCAATATGAAAAGCATCAGATGGAAAGTCCAGTGTGGAATGATTTAATATAACATTATCTTTTATCACTCAACAAGAAATCTATAACATATTTTCCCATTTAAATGCGAATAAAGGTGCTGGTCCGGATTCTATTCCACTACTGTTTTTGAAGCAAAGTGCTTTAACATCTGTATCTACTGTTCAACCAACAAATGGCACCAGCACACTTCCCTGAGGGGCACAAATATTACAATGTAGTTCATCTGACATAGCATCCTTTATTCGGGCCCTTTGTTTATGTTCATATAGTCAGTTAGCCAAAGCATGAACTAAACCATAAAATCCATATCCGATTAATTTATTATGTAAGATATTCCTATCAATGGTGTCAAATGTTCTCTTAAAATTAAAGAATATGACTACTATATTTTTATCTTGGATGACCTCTACAGTAAAGTTACTTATGGTTAATTGTAATGCTGTCTCAAATGGATAGTTTCCACAATAACCCATCTGATTGCTAAATAAAATGTGATTTCTGGTAATATGCTCTAAGATTTGATGATATACAATCAACTCAATGACCTTTTCCATTGGATGTAAAATATTAATACAAAAGAATTCCCTAGCTTAGATAGTATTTGTTGTCGAAATTTATATCGAGTTAGAATGGTGAAAATGATTAAATAAAATATACAAATAAGATATACTTACTCCATCTTTACATCGCCATTATCTAGTTGAGACACAGCCTGTTTGATTGCTATTTGACCAACTTCTTGTTTATACAACAATAAGTCACTCAATGTGAAATCAAAATAAATCCTTAAACCATCTAATACTTCTCTACATATGGCCAAACTATAAAAAAACATGAAATTGTTAGGTAAACATTTGTACAATTGTTTGAAAAATTAAAGTAGAACCATGGACGTATAAACACATATGGACTCAGTTATTTACATAAAATTGTGAAGTCAAAATTATTTGAATAGGTCACATTCTCAGCACCTTCAACTGTTGTCACGTTTTGTTTTAATATTTCTTATTCGCGAGTCGCTGAAAATATTACTCCGTATTTTATACTCTACAGGTGCTATCAAACCAAAATAATAATTTATTGGTTAGAATAATATATTTAATTGTAATCAAAATATACAGTGTGCACATAGTGTGCATTATCATTTAATAATAGCGTATAATAGATATCAATCAATTATTTTATATGTAGAAGCATTGAAAACTATTTATAAATGGCAACGGTTGTTTACATTTCTCTGTCTTATGGATCTACGTCAAGCTTCAAATGCTGTTCCATGTTTGTGTACTTTTTACTAAAAGTTGTTTTTCGATATTTTGGCTGTATTTTGAGTGATATTTGTGAAAAGTGAAATAAAATAAACGAAATATTTACATCCCGATCTCTCATTTCATTTGTAAGGACATACAATTTACATTATTTAAGATGAGGAAATGAGGAAGCGTGTTTGTTTACATTTTAATAGGCGTACCATTGGGTTTATTCATGTTCATTAATGTATTGAATAATAAGTTCATGAAATTAGTAGACATTTTTAAATTGTAAGTAGACATCATCTGATTAAAAAAGATCTATTTAGTACCTTTTTAATTTAATATTTCTCATGGATGCAAATAAATTAGTGAAATGAATAAAACTCATTTATTTTTCTATGTAGGTTTCCAAATAATATTGACGATCGAACTATTTTGGTAGCAAATTTAGGAGAAAACATAAAGATTTTTTATTGTAGCATTATTTTGATACCTATTAAAAATTAACTTGAATTCAACTATATTTTATTGTATTAATTTTAAAGCAAATAAAATTGTGTTTTAATTTTTCTATAAAGACGTGATTCGTTAATAGTTAAATTCTCGTTTTTTTAAATTCTTTGAACGTGTTTTTATACATTATTACTACTTCCAATTTTTAAAATCTGAATAATTACCCGCGAGTAAAAATTCAAGCACGCTTATGCTCATTGCGGAAGCATCACATTCTATCGGAGCTTCAAAACATTGTGTGTTAAAGGTATCTTATTGCTGTGTCCATCTATGTTTATATGTCCATGAGTAGAACATTTTTCAATAACAATAGAGACATATCATTGTCAACTTTTCTTACTGCTTCTTTAACAAGACATAACTACAAGCTAAATATGCAAAATACAAGAGCAGGCCAGATTCCTCCAACAATTTTCAAAAAATCGAAAAATTCTTTTTTCAATAATTGCAAGAAAATACTATTAGGAATATATAGAATGAGTACCTCAAAGTAGGTAGAGAAGAGTGGAGCGCTACAAGCGGTCAATCCATCCTTTCAAGTGGGCCAGGTGATGGCAGCCTTTTACTTTATTGGCCTCTTCTCGAAAGCATATTGTTTCAACTGGGTGTCACTCATATTTCGAAAATTATTGCACTTATCACGATGAACCAAAGATTTTACTCTTTAGATGTCTCTATGGTCGGTGTTACAATGAAAAATATTCATTGTTACTTCAAAAAGTAACAACTAAAAATACAAAAAAGGGTTGGGAAATTCAAAAGTCTGCCATTTTCTTTATTTTTCGGTGAAAATGTTTTATTGTAGCACGGACCCAAGCCAATTTGACATGGGATATGAAACCATTTTGCTTTTTTGCTTTCAGATTATTTGTTTCCAAGAAATGATGACATCCATCAATAAATTGGATGAATTTAGGCAGCCATTTTCAGAGGCGCCATTTTGAAAACAAAAAAAAATTTTGAAAAATGAAAGGCAAATATCGAGAACAATTTTAACAATAAAATCTTGCCCAAGTACTTTTGCTTACTACAGCATCTTCAGGAGCATTTTGTCAAAATTTGACATTTGACAAAATGCCCCTGAAGATGCTGTAGTAAGCGAAAGTACTCTGGCAAGATTTAATTTTTAAAATTGTGCTCGATATTTGCTTTTCATTTTTCAAAGTTCATTTATTCGAGCATTCAACCTTATATCAAAAAAGAAAAAAAATTGTTCAGGTAATTTGATGTATGTACTTTCACCTGTAAAAAGTTTTATTTTCAAATATCTCTTGTCCTATAAATAAAATTTATTAAAAAAACATGGTTTTTGAAGGAACCTTGCATTTACTGGCAGAACCTGGTTTTTAAATCATGACAGTACATATTTAAAGTAAACTGTTCCTTACTTTCTTTGTATATCTTCAGGCTTTGGTTTCACACTATTCTGATTTATTGATTGAGTTCTATACCTCCCAGTTGACTTCTCTGTAAGCCCACAGATCTGATTGGTTGCATAATGTCTATAATAAGATTCTAAAATAGTTGCAATATTTGGTTCTGCTGGTAACTTCATTAACTAAAAGAGAATACAAATAAATATTGGATCATATGAAGGTCAAACTATTGCAATTTCACCTTATTTTTTTCTTTAATCAGGTAATAGTCATTCTCTATTATTTTTCTAAGATCTGCCGTTAATTCTATGTAAATTGCTTCATCCTCAGTGGAAGAATCATCCTCTGAAGTGCTGGTTATACCTATAATTGCGAAAAATCTTTGTTAATCTGGCTTAAGATGGTTATTACTAATCAAAACCATTGATAAATACATATTCCACAAAATATATCAATGTGTGAAAATAATTCCTTTAAATATGCATCCATTTTAAAATACCTAAATGGAATAAAGAAAGCACATACTAATTCATAATATAAGCTTCAATCCCATTCAACTGAAGCATTGTTCTCAAAATTTTGACCTCAATTAGCGAAAAAAACATTATTGAATTAATTAGCATTGATGGTTGATATTTGCAATGATTAAAACATCAAAGTGAACCATTTCTAAAAATACAAGCTTATTTTCAATATAAACATAAACATATTTTGGCATCAAAATAGTTAATTAGATTTACATTTATCAAAGCTATTCATTAAGTATATCTGTTTAACCTACAAACAAGTTGTATATAAAAAAAATTCAAACATTCAAAATAAAGCTCACTTAACATTTTCCTTACCTTGACCATCATCTGTATCCATTCTTCCTGGACTACTAGAACTACCACCATCTTCTGAAGCAGAAGCTCTGTCACCAGGCTTTCTGTTCTTTTTCCTTTCCTTTCTATATAAATATGCTCCCCTAAAAAAGACCTACATGTTGATCAATTGATTAACAGATAAGATAAACTAATAAAATGATACTTTACAGTTGTAACTGTGCTTTTTCTGCCAAATCTTTTTGCAACTGTCTGTTCTCTGGGGTGTCCTTTAACACATATTCCTCTCCAACACACCTATCCCAGGA